ATCAATGTACAGAAATTGGTTGCACTTCTATATACTAATAATAAAGCAACAGAAAGAGAAATAAAGAAACTGATCCCATTTACAATTGCTCCAAGAACCATAAAATACCTAGGAATGAACCTAGCCAAAGATGTGAAAGATCTGTGTGCTGAAAACTATAGAAAGCTTAAGAAGAAAATCGAAGAAGACACAGAGGAATAGAAAAACATTCCATGCTCATAGATTGGGAGACTAAATATTGTTAAAATGTCAATACTACCCAAAGCAATCTACACGTTTAATGCAATCCAAATTAAAATTACACCGGCATTCTTCTCAAAGCTAGAACAATCCTAAAATTTGTATGGAACCACAAAAGACCCTAAATGGCCAAAGTAATATTGCAAAAGAAACCAAAGTGGAAGACATCACAATCCCAGGCATTAGTCTTATTACAAAGCTGTAATCATCAAGAGAGTATGGTATTGGCACAAAAACAGACACATAGACAAGTGAATAGAATATAGAACCCAGAATTAGACCCACAAATGTCTGGCCAATTAATCTTTCACAAAGCAGGAAAAAGATCTCTTATATCCTTGGTTAGGTTTATTCCTAGGTACTTTATGTTTTTTTGTGCAATTTTGAATGGGATCAGCTTCTTGATTTCTCTTTCTGTTGCTTCATTATTGGTGTATAAAAATGGAACCGAGATGGGCATGGAGGAGGGCACTTGTAGGGATGAGCACTGGGTGTTATATGGAAACCAACTTGACAGTAAATTATTTTAAAAATGCAACCGATTTCTCTACATTGATTTTGTACCCTGAAACTTTGTGGAATTCATGGATCAGTTCCAGTAGGCTTCTGGTGGAGTCTGTTGGGTTTTCTATGTAGAGTATGATGTCGTCTGCGAAAAGTCAGAGTTTGACTTCTTCTTTCCAAATTCTGATGTGTTTTATTTCCTTTTGTTGTCTGATGGCTAATGCTAGGACTTCCAGCACCATGTTAAACAACAGTGGTGAGAGTTGACATCCCTTTCGTATTCCTAATTTCAGGGGGAAAGTTCTCAGTTTTTCACCATTGAGGATGATGTTAGCTGAGGCCTTCTCATAGACGTTTTTATGATGTTTAAGGAAGTTCCTTCTATCCCAACTTTCTGGAGAGTCTTTATTAAGAAGGGATGCTGTATTTTGTCAAATGCTTTTTGTCCTTCTATGGACAGGATCATATGGTCTTTATCTTTTCTTTTGTTAATGTGAGGTATCACATTGATTGATTTGCGAATGTTGAACCAGCCCTGTAACCCAGGAATGAATCCCACTTGAAATTGGCGGATAATTCTTTTTATATGCTGTTGGATTCGATTTGCAAGGATCTTGTTGAGGATTTTTGCATCCGTATTCATCAAGGATATTGGCCTGTAGTTCTCTTTTTTGCTGGGTCTCTGACTGGCTTGGGAATCAAAGTGATGCTGGCTTCGTAAAATGAGTCTGGAGGTTTTCCTTCCACTTCTTTTTTTGGAATAGCTTGAGAAGAATGGGTATTAATTCTGTTTTAAATGTTTGGTAGAATTCCCCAGGGAAGCCATCTGGCCCAGGGCTCTTATTTGTTGGGAGATTTTTTGATAACTGATTCAATTTCTTCACTAGTTATGGGTCTGTTCAGATTTTCTATGTCTTCCCATGTGAATTTTGGTGTTGAGTGTGTGTTTAGGAATTTGTCCATTTCTTCTAAGTTGTCCTATTTGTTGGCATATAATTTTTCATAGTATTCTCTGATAATTACTTGTATTTCTGAGGGGTTGGTTGTAATAAGTCCATTTTCATTCATGATTTTGTCTATTTGGCTGCTCTCTCTTTTCTTTTTGAGACGCCTGGCTAGAGGTTTGTCCATTTTGTTTATTTTTTCAAAGAACCAACTCTTGGTTTCATTGATCTGTTCAATGTTTTTTTGGATTCTATATTGTTTATTTCTTCCCTGATTTTTATTATTCATCTTCTCCTAATGGGTTTGGGTTGCTCTTGTTGCTCTGCCTCTAGTTCCTTTAGGTAAGTTGTTAGATTTTGCATTTGCGCTTTCTCTAATTTCTTGAAATAGGCCTGGAGTGCAATGTACTTTCCTTTTAGGACTGCCTTTGCCGCATCCGATAGAGTTTGAATTGTTGTATATTGTATTCTTGTAAAAGCTTGTTATGTGCTCTGCACCTGCGAATTGCTATATTAAAGAAGGCTCATTGACTGTCCAGGGCATTTCCATTCAGGAAGTGTTCTTTTAATGGTGTCTGTTGGTCTCTCTTGTTGAGACTTTGGTTATTTTATTTCCCTACTCATAGTGGTATTTGGGACTCTCCACCATGTGTACCTTGGCTTGTTTCTTGAGGTAACCCTGGAAAAGAAAAAAGACAGACAAATAAATATACAGGGAACAAAGGCACACAAGCACACTGACAAATCCAACAAACATGCAAACTGAAAGGGAAAAAGAAAGAAAAAAAAAGATGAAAGAAAAAAAGAGGAAGGAGGAAAATCAAATAACAAAAATAAAAATAAAAAAAGAATAAAAGAAAAGAAAAAAGAAAAAGCCCAAAAGACAAAGTAGAGTCTAAAAGCATAAAACCAGAATCCCCAGCTACAAATAAAGAGCCGGGTGTATGCAATGTTGATGGAACAGCATATACAAAGACAGAAATAACAGGGCTGGGAGGAAGCAAAATTGGAAGAGAAAGGCACAGGCAGAGAGACTAAGAGGCTAATTCAGAGAGAGAAAGAGGAGAATATGGTAAGAGGTGAGGAGAAAGAAGTGAAGATAAAATTACTCAGAGAAACTATATAATCTGATTACTCCAGATAAAGAAAGAGAGATAGAAATGTAGCAGTGGAGGTGTAGAATATACATCTAGAGAATGGATTAAATGTGACTGTTTAAGCATACCAATGACCAGAATGCCCAGTCAGGCAGAGGTGAGGGGTACGGATGAGACAAGGGAAAATATATTGAATAGAAAGAATTGATCTAGAATTAATCAGGGCAGTGCATCCATGTTGGTCTTGCCCCAGGCTCTGGTAAAAAAAAAAAAAAAAAAAAGCAGCTCTCTAGCAGGGATGGGAGTGGTTTGGTGTAGGCAGGTCTTAGCCTCCACTGTGTCCTGCTGGGCTGCTCCCTGAGGCCCCACCTTGGTGGTTGTGGGTTAGAAAAATGGCGGCGCCCCAGTTTCTTCTTGAACCAGGCATTGCTTATCACTCTTTTGGGTCTGATCTCCCTGTGTGGCACGCATAGCCAAGGTGGGCTGTGTTTTATGTGCCAAGCCCCACCTCTTTTCCAGGTCCCAGTCCGCACGCTTTATTGATACAGCCAGAAACACAGCCCCACAGGTCGCTGCTTCCCCCCCACCTGGGGTCAAGCTGGGAAAGCAGCGGAGCAGCCTTGGGTCAGCCGCCTTCCCGCTGCAGGGGATGGAAGTGGGAGAGCAGAGGAGCAGTTTCTCCTGGCGCCATCTGGGACCTGGGGCACCCAGTTCAAAGTCAGCACCCCAGCTAGAACTAAGAACACTCTCCGTCTGAGCCAAGGTTTTCCTCTTCTCCAGGGACAGTTCTATGAGCAATTTTAGCCGCTTTCCTTTTCCCCTTGACTCACCGCGGCTGCCTGCGAGGGGGGCTCCCTCCTTTCCCTCCGTGTCTCCGGTCCTGGCCCGCTTTTATCTTCCCCAGTTCACACTCATGCAATTATGAGGTTGCCTTCCCAGTGTACTCTGTCTCTTTCTCTTCCCAAACACCAGCGGCTCAGTGTCCTATGGCTTCATGCCTTCTCTGTTTGAGAGATGGGTGCGAGCGAGATGCGTGGAGCTCCCTACTCTGCCATCTTGCCTCCTACTCCTTGTCACAGTATTTTAAAATTGCTACTTAATGTCATTATTCTAAGGAAGGAAAAATTCAAAATCTAAATTATTAGCATGAATGTCACTCACCTTTATAGTGATATGTCATTTTAAATGCAAATATGAGAACATTAACTCGTACAATTGTATTTTGCTTTTTATACACGCATGTGGGCTTTTCTCTTACCAGACAATGGAAAAATTGCATGAAACTAATGTAATTTTTTTTTACTCTACTTTCTGATACAGGCATATTCTACCAACACTTCACCTTCTCCTTACTGATGAGTGAGTCACAAGGAGTGGTGAATCCATGTATTGTACCCATTGAACCCATAGTCATGTACATTGCTTTTCAGTGTTGCAAGTCCTGCTCTACCAAAGCTCACATTGAGTGTTGGCTTAAAAGCAACCATTGATAGCAAACCATTCTGCTGCAAGTCAAAGGTCATTGTTGGAGTTATGGGATGCTAGAAAATGTAAAAGAATAAAATGGTAATGGTTAGAAATATAATCCAAGAGTAGGACATCATAACTTTTTATTACTTTCAATTAATTACTTTTAATAAGCAGTAATTTTCATTTTCATAGTAGGTATTATTATTTTCTTATTACAAAGGTATTTTGTTAGATGCAAAAACCATAAGACCATAACATAGACAGGAACAAAGGAGAAAGCCTCCACCACCCAGAGGTAGTCATGTTTTGGAGGTTGGGTGGTTTTGGTCTTCTGTTCTGTGCATATGCTCTGTATATATTTATTTCAAGAAAAATATCCTAGTTTATCCATGTTTCTTATGTATCCTCAATATTTCCCCATATCAATCAATATCCTTCTAGAGCATTTTAGATGCATAGTATTTCATACTGTGCACATATTACTACTTACTTAACTAATGCTTCTTATTGAATGTTTAGGTCATGACTAGTGTGAAATGTGCTCTAGTGTTCATCCTTGGAGATGAGCATACACTCTTTCCCACATGATGTTAGAATGCTGGAACATTGAAAAGGCCTTATTATAAGAGGCCAAAATTAACAAAAGTAGAGAGAGACTGCATGGATTCCCTTTGAATTCCCTAAGGTGCAAACAATATTTCCAGTTTGCTTTTCATTAACAGTGGTTTCTTTCTGTCTGACCTAGTGAGAAGAGTGACAACGGAACATGCATCTAGAGAACAAAGATGATGGGCTGACCTCTGGTGTGCTGGAAATGGAGCTACATCAGGCATCTGCTCCCATGTGTGCTGGCCTAGGAAGGCCAGGGCTGGCAGGACTTGCCACCAGCAACTGCAGGCTACAGCAAGGAGTCAACAGGGTAGACCCCACAACCCCCTACCCCAACAGAGCAGCTGGGCAGAGCTGCTTGGCTTCTGTGGACCAGGATTTTGGTTCATTTCCTACAGAGTGGAGGTGAGTTGATAATAGTTTTATCTTGTAAGTGTAGAATTCACAAATATTGCATTTTATGAGTGTAGTTCCCCTATTTTTTGTGGGAAAATTTTCAGATGTTGTACAAGGAATCCAAGAATCTTTCTAGCATTAGATCACTTCCCTGGCCTATTTCAAATGAATGCTCTTTCTGAAATGTGGCTAACATAACTCCATAAGATTATAAAAATAGAAAAGAGCTTTTAGATGAACTTGGCATTTATTATATTATTTTAAGGTATTAAAAATATTACATGATTTTAAAAAGCATATACTGTGTATTTATATATTATATAGGATCTTAAAACATGTTTTATTATAAATATGTCAAGTGAATAAGTTGAATATTGTTTTTCATGTTAGAAACATCTTGATTTGCATAAAAAATAACTTTTGATAAATCCTTAAATATTTACCAAAGTAAAACAATAAATAGATATAAAAATGTGCTATAACTGCTAGGAATTTACCCAAGGGATACAGAAATGCTGATGCATAGAAGCACATATACCCCAATGTTCATAGCAGCACTCTCAACAATAGCTAAAACATGGAAATAAGCTAAGTGTCCATCCACGGATGAATGGATCAAGAAGATGTGGTTTATTTATACCATGGAATACTACATGGCAATGAGAAACAATGAAATCTGGCCATGTGTAGCAACATGGATGGACCTTGAGGGTGTTATGCTGAGCGAAATAAGTTAGGCAGAGAAGGACAAATATCGTATGTTTGCACGTATAGGAGGATTAGGAGGAACTTAACTGAGGAACAAGGGGGAGAAGAAGGGGGGAAATGGTGGGGGACAGGGAGAGAGGCAAACCATGAGAGACTCTTGAATGTTGACAAAAACTGAGGACTGATGGATGTGGGGGGGAGGGTGGGACGGGCATGGAGGAGGACACTTGTGGGGATGAGTACTGGGTGTTATGTGGAAACTAATTTGACAATAAACTATTTGAAAAAAAAATGCAGTCAGCCTGTCGTTACAAAAAAAAAAAAAGTGTGCTATAAGTGTCTATTCATACCATGTAGGGACATATTTTTTACCCTGTAGATCTGGGTATCCTGGTCCCCACAGGCAATAAGTCCTGCTCAGGGCAGTTGCTCAGCCAGAACCGTGACCCATGCATGCAGTACCAGTGGTCTAATGTTGAAAAAGACAAAGCATCATAGAAATACATACAAGTGTAGTATATAGCCCTGCCACTTCCCATGATCCTGTCCCCTCTCCTTCTCCAGGGTAAGACCTATTCAAATTTACTGTAGATTTCACCAGTACACAGGTTCATACTTTTATTGTGTGTTTTTATATCACTAAATAGTATATGCTTTTGTTTTGCAAATGGTGAAACTTTGAGTTGCTTTTTTTATCCAACATGTTTTTGAGATTTGCTAATGTGGACCCTATCATTCTTGTTAATTCATTTAGATTACTCACATAAAATGTCAGTATATGAATATGCCACAATTTATATATTTTATCCTCTAGGTACCAATTCAGTGTCCCCCCGCCCCCGTCCCCTAGTATTTTGCTATTAAAAACTGCCTACAGCATGTTTTCTCATATAGGTTTTCTAGGGTGTAATTGGGGGGATTCTCTAGAGTATCTCTCTACTTGAGAATGAATGTTGGCTCTGAAAGTATGTGCACCTTGGGATTCACTAGATAATACCAGATTCATAATTGTATAAACTTATCCTCCCACCTTTCCAGTATTTGGTGCCAGGGGACTTTAACACGAGAAGATGTGATACATATGATGTGCTATGTCATGGCTGTCCTTATTTGCATTTCCTTGTTGAGCAAGAAAGCAGAACTTCTTCCTATGTTTATTAGACAGTTGGGTTAGTTTTTTATAATGTGCCACCTCATACATTTTGCTCATTTTTCTAAGGGTTGTTTCTATTTTTCTCTCTGTGATGCAGGTTTAAAAAATCTTCACATTAATCCTCTTTGATCTTGTGTTGTTGGACCAATCATCTGCAAGCCAGATGATTATCTTTTTTTTTTAATTTATGGTTTCTTAAAAGTAAAGTATTTAATATGATTAGATCTGAAAACCTCATGGTTTTGTGCTATTTTGTTTTTAAGAACTTCATTTTCTCTCTGATTTCATAAAAAACTTCTGTTTTCTAAAAGTTTTAAACTTTGCTCTCTAGATTTAGCTCCTTTATCTGCCTGTAATTTATTTTTAAATCTTCCTTCTCTTTCCCTTCCTCCTTCCTTCTTTATTGCTTTAAAATTAATACATACCAAAAATAACCCAGTACAGTCTTTAATAAAATTTTAGGTCTGAAATGCATGAATACTTAAAAGCACCCTTGGAAGGTGAAGGAATACTTCCAGAATTGCCATGTAGGATTGCCTTATGGCAGACTCTGTGGGGAATCTGGGGCTGGAGACCTTCTCTGGAAGCTGTGTTGACCTTGTACATCAGCTATCTCTTGCCACAATAATGGTGCAGTCTGCAAACCCAGACTTCACCATGTGGGTGGTAGGGTGGTGGTCCAACCCCTCCTGGCTGGACTGCCAGTGCAGGTGTGGGTGCCAGCTAACTTAGGAGCCCCATGGGCCACTTGCCTCTTATCCTTTCAAAAGCCTCATCACTCAGGAGTAGAAGCTGGTCATAAGTCTCTGCTGCTTCGTGTCTGCTAACATACTATCAGGAGACCCAAGGTCAGATTTGCATCTTATGCTCTGAGGGTCGCCAGATAGAATGCATGTTGCAAATGTGAATTTAAGATAATAATGAATATTTTGGGAAAGTACTTAATACTAAAAAATCATTTGTAGTTTACCTGACACAAAATTTACCCAAGCACTCTATTTTTATTTGCTAAATCTGACCACCTGTTGCTCAGGATATTATCTTCTTTGGAGACTAGGGCTCCTGCGAACCAAAGGTGGCTGGCCATAGCTATGCCTTGTGACAGCCCTGCTGGCTAGGTGGTGGGACTGATTTCTCAGGTCCTGGCTTTGCATGAAATCTGCTTTGATGCCTGAATCTGTCATCGGCATCTTTGCCTCAACCTGCCCCACTGCTGTGTTCCTGTGAATATAGGACATCAGCACAGTAAATGTGTGGGGATGAGGAGATGTACCTGCCCATGAGTGTACCTCTCTGGAGCTGAGTAGGGGGTTGTTGGTGCCTGGCCCACCTGAGCTAGTTAAGGGCCACAGCCAGGGTGGGGCTGGGTCCACTTATCAAGGCATGCACACAGGGCTACCTAGCCCATGGAAGGGCTTCCCACTGGCCTAGGGTGGGTGGGTAGCTGCCAACTGTGAGGGCCAGCTTTCTTTTGTAAAGGGCTGGAGGAGGCCATTGCCTGTTTGTCTTCCACACCTGGAACCATGGAGGTGGGGCAGGTCCTTACTTGGGAGGCCCTAGAGGGAGGGAGGGAGGGAGAGAGAGAGAGAGAGAATAGGTTGGCCATGGCTCCAAGTCACACTCCACTACCCCAACTGTTCAGGCATCTAAGAGTAGGCAAAGGAGAAGGGCCCCTTCTACCATCACCCACTGCCTCAGGTTGGCTGAGGCTGGGTGTGAGGCTGGCTTTCTCACATCCTCAATTGACTGTATGTAAATTTACACCTGGATATAGGAGAGAGCTATGGGTTCCACCTGAGTCAGAGTGAAAGAACAAATCTATATACAAGATACCTCAGAGATTTTCTGGTTAGATTCCAGATCACCACAAGAATGCAGATATTTCAATGAAGTAAGTCAAATGAACTTTTTGTATCACAGTGAATATAAAAGTTATGTCTACACTATACTGTAGTCTATTAAACTTTGCAATGTATTATGTCTAAAAAACAATGCATGTATCTTAATTAACAAATACTTTATTGCTTAAAAATGCTAACCATCAAAAATGGCTGAGAAGTAGGGGAATTGGGATTTCCCTCAAACACAGCTGTATTGAGGTCAGATAACTTGCAACACCCAGGAAATCAACCTGCAGAGTGGCAGAAGGATTTCCGCAGGTGAAGGGAGACAGCTTGGCGGGATTGAGGTGTGTGTATACGAACTGAGAGAGATAAAATAATGTAGGCATGGTGGGGACGGAACCCATTCTGTTGAAAGAAAAAAGGGAGAGAAAGAGAGAGGGCTTCGGTATCTACTTAGCATTAGAGGAAAACCTATCTATACTACAGACTGGGGAATGAGAAATATGGAGAGTTCCAGTTTCTATTTTGCAAACAGCCTTAGGAGCTGAAACTTGGAGGTATGAAAGTGCCTGACTTTCTCTGGACTGGAGCCAGCTGTGTGTACATGTCTGGCGGGAGAAGGAGATAGTCCAGGGTGCTGTAGCAATCTCAAGGGCTCACTGGGACAGAATAGTCCCTTTCCACCAGTACTGTGGGAAGACGGTTTATTGCCTCCCCAAGGACAAAAGACCCTGCAGGTGGCAGCCAAAGGCCTTTTATCAGCAGGGCTAAGGGGCCCTACACCAGAACAGGGTCCCCCTTGTGCAGAGCCTTTTAAGACATCAGGTTTTGGGGGCGCCTGGCTGCAGTCAGTTAAGCGTCTGACTTTGACTCAGGTTATGATCTCACAGTTAGTGGGTTCAAGCCCTGCGTTGGGCTCTGTGCCAACAGCTAGCTCGGAGCCTGGAGCCTTCAGATTCTGTGTCTCCCTCTCTCTCTGACCCTCCCCTGCTCTCTCTCTCTCTCTCTCAGAAATAAATAAAAACATTTAAAATTTTTTTAAAAAGACATCGGGTTTTGAATCCCAGTCGAATGCCTAGCAGGCACAAGAGAACTGTAGAGCAGGAAAGGCTGACTACCTGGGCTATTCTGTGATGGGTGCCTGAGCAGCATGATTTGAGACACCGGTCAGGGGAGGAGAGATTGGAGTGTTGCCATTTTTCTCCCAAACACCAGCATGATGGGACTTCAGGGAAACAGCACAGCAGCCCCCCACTGGAAGCAGACCTGCTTATACCAAAATTCACCCCTCTGTGCCTGGCAAC